AATTGGCTTTTACAGGAATGCTAATAATGCAGTAATGGTGTGTTAAATAAATGTCAAGTGCTACAGAAAATAAGTTCTGACATTTGGTTCTGGTCCAGGCTTGAGTAGCCCAGTTATTTCCTGAGATAATCCTCTGGCTCCAGGAGGCTGTTTTGTTCTCTGTAATAGTAGACTGCAGTGATAGTTAGTGATAGAAACTCAAATAGGAAGGGCATTTAGAGCTCAACATACCAAATCATTACCATGTAAAAGTATTCACGTAACACTGAAAAGATGCCAAAGTTGAACTTATGGATAAAAGGATGAGCGTTTGCAGGATTCAATAATTAGCAATAGTAGCAGGACAGAAAAAGGTCTGCTTTCATTCTTTGTCTCAGCGTCTCACTCTGGTCAGAATTCTCTCACAAAAGCTGCCACTTAATGAAAATAAAAATATATGTTAAATACCTTTTATTTCTGCACACAGGACAATCTCAGGCTTCTTTTGTTTTTAGACCTCAACACAAACAAACATCAAAGAGTATTTTGTTGTTCGGAGCAGTAAATGACACAGCGCAGGGAGAGGAAACAAAAGTAGGGCTGCAGAGCTGGCTTCCGCATCCAGCTGCGAAACAACAACATGAATCCCTGCTCCCATCATTCTTTCTCACCAACATCAGGATCCTCACCAATAAAATGCAGGAGCTACAATTAGAGATTTACTATAACCCTCTTGTCCGGGAGTGTTGTCTACTGATTGCAACAAAATTCTGGCTTCATCTGCAAATCCTGATACCGCCAAGACCGCAACAAATATTCCAGTAAGAGAAGGGGTGGGACCTCTGTGTTTATGGACTCCAGGACTGGTGCCATAACAGCAGAATTATAGACAGTCACTCCCACAGGACTTAGAGGCCATTCAGTGCAGGCCCACCTACCTACAGTGGTGTAAAAAAAGTGGTTTGCCCCTTTCCTGTTTTCTTCTTTTTTTGTATGTTTGTCACACTTAAATGTTCCATCCAAAAAAAAATTCAATATAAGACAACAATAACACCAGTAAACATAAAATGTAGTTTCTAATTGACGGTTTTTGTTATTAAGGGGGGAACAATCTATACCTATATGCCCCTGTGTGAAAACGTGATTGCCCCCTAAATCCAATAACTTGTTGGTCCACCTTTAGCAGCAACAACTGCAATCAAGCATTTGCTATAACGATAAATAAATAAATGAGTCTGTGAAGGAATTTTGGCCCACTCATCTTTGCAGAATTGTTGTAACTCAGGCACACTGGAGGGTTTTCAAGCATGAGCTGCATTTTAAAAGTCATACTGCAGCATCTGAGATTCAAGTCA